TATACCCTCCGGAAGATCGTTTACATATATTAGAAACAGGATGGGTCCAAGTACTGAGCCCTGTGGGACTCCGCTGGTGACACCTCGCCACTCTGATGTCGTCCCCCTCACCGTTACTCGCTGTTGGTAGTGACAGTGAGACAATTGAGGTCGTGGATGGTGCTATTGACGGTGAAAAATGTGTGGTAGTGACATAGAGACAGGTGTAATGACGGTGAAACAGGTGTGGTGGTGGTGATGATAGTGACGGGGAGACAATAGTGGTCGTAGGTGGTTGTAGTGACGGTGAAATAAGAGTGGTGTTAGTGGTATTGACAGGGAGACAAGTGTGGTGGTTACCTGGTTGATACCTGGTTGATGGGGTTCTGGGAGTTCGTCTACTCCCCAAGCCCGGCCCGAGGCCAGGCTCGACTTGTGAGAGTTTGGTCCACCAGGCTGTTGCTTGGAGCGGCCCGCAGGCCCACATACCCACCACAGCCCGGTTGGTCCGGCACTCCTTGGAGGAATAAATCTAGTTTCCTCTTGAAAATGTCCACGGTTGTTCCGGCAATATTTCTTATGCTTGCTGGGAGGACGTTGAACAACCGCGGACCTCTGATGTTTATACAGTGTTCTCTGATTGTGCCTATGGCACCTCTGCTCTTCATTGGTTCTATTCTACATTTTCTTCCATGTCGTTCACTCCAGTACGTTGTTATTTTACTGTGTAGATTTGGTACTTGGCCCTCCAGTATCTTCCAGGTGTATATTATTTGATATCTCTCTCGTCTTCTTTCTAGTGAGTACATTTGGAGGGCTTTGAGACGATCCCAATAATTTAGGTGCTTTATTGCGTCTATGCGTGCCGTATATGTTCTCTGTATTCCCTCTATTTCAGCAATCTCTCCTGCTTTGAAGGGGGAAGTGAGTACTGAGCAGTACTCAAGACGGGACAAGACAGTACTCAAGATGGTAGGTGGTGGTAGTGACTAAGACAAGTGTGGTGGTGGTAGTAGTGACAGGGAGACAAGTGTGGTGGTAGTGACAGTGACAAGTGTGGTGGTGGGTGGTGGTTGTGACGGTGAGACATGTATGACGGTAGTGGAAGTGACGGTGAGACAATTGTGGTGGTGGTAGTGACGGTGAGACAGGTGTGGTGGTGGTAGTGACGGTGAGACAGGTGTGGTGGTGGTAGTGACGGTGAGACAATTGTGGTGGTGGTAGTGACGGTGAGACAGGTGTGGTGGTGGTAGTGACGGTGAGACAAGTGTGGTGTGTTATGGATCACAGTCAGTGCCCCCATAATAATATGTCATGAGCTATGCTGTTATGAGTCACGGTCCCCATTTTAATGTTAAACGACACGGACAAGTACCTCCACTTAATTGTTAAGAGAGTAACCTTCAGCATCACTGGAACACATAGCCTGGCCAATTATATTTATCAAGGTTCTAGGGGAGTGAAAGGCTAGCAACAAATATTAAAGTTTACTGGCATTAATATCTCAATCCACATAACATTAAAAAATAATACATTCTACTGATACCACACACTATTACTTTATACCCAGCTTCTCATCAGCTGGCAATGATACATCAAATACAGGTCTGGAAACTGCATCAATCAACACTAGCTGACACCAGGAACTTTACCTGGCGCAGTGGAACACTAGCGCCTATATGCTGCAAATACCAAAACAGGGTGGTGGTGTCACTACCAGTAACACATGAGGAATGAAGAAACAATATCACACAGAGCACCATGGCATTACTTAAGTTCCTCAGAATTTCACCTCAGAAAGACATATAAAATCTCTACCACCTTGTATACATGTTGAACAATGTTACGAACCTTACCTCCTGTGGAGGTTGGTTTCGGTTGTAAAATGTTGGTGGACACAGGGAGAGTGTATATTAATATAAATCCCCAGCTAAGATCAGAGAGGCCGCGAGTCATCATTATTACTCCGCTCAGTAAAGTAGTACCTTCTCAGCTGGAGATCATCAGAAATAATGTGAACTTGAATAGCTTTACTATGTATGGGAAAAATGGACTCTATAAAAAGTATGCATGGGGAAATATAGTAAATAAAATCATTAATGTGTTTGATAGCATATGTAAAGAGTAGAGTATTAAGGGGCGATGAGGCAAGAGAGGTGGAGGCCATCTTGACTGAAGGGGGAGGTGTATCGCTGCCGACCGTTCCTGCTATTTGAGGGTTTTCTCCACAACAATAGAAAATGATCCATATAAATACATACAGTTACATGATCAACATCTAGCAGGCACAATACCCAATATACGGTCACAATTCACGCGCAACAACCTAACACGTCCGCTCGCCTGAAAAGATCAAAGAACAGTGACGTCTTGAGGCACTTTTGCCGAGAGGCGACACTGTTACCAACTCTAATAAGTCAGCGGACCTTCAACTTTCAAATCTCGCTAACTCATTTACAATATAAACTCATTCAGGGACTTCTAATTTGCTATACAACAACTTAAGAGTATAAGGCAAAACCTTACATAATGATATATAATAGTAATTCGATACATTAAAGAAATTATAATGAAATACAAAATACGTACACAAAGAATTCGCATGGATACGAGATGGCAACACTGGCAGAGCCGGTACTTCACTGGGGGAGAGGGGGGGGGGGTTAGGGAGAATTCAACGACATAACCAATGGTCATACATAGGCATACAAAGATAATAAATATTATAAATATAAACAAATGTGTATCAAAAGCTTGTCTATGTGGAAAACATTTCACAGTGCCATAATTTCATTTAATGTCATGACAAGAGGACAATGCAAGGTACAACACTCAAATGGAAATTACACAGTATACATGTAAGTAATACATATAGACCTAAATGTATACATTCTCTAACATGGTCCACATTATGTTACCTATTCAGCACTAATGTAGCATTTCAACAATAAGCATACAAGGATGTTTTTCAGCAACATGACATTAGGCTACTGCTATAACTAGACACTAGACTTCTAATATATATCCATTATTACCATGGCATACATATTTGATACAGAAATATATATATACTATGGTTATATATATATATACATTGACAATACATAAATTATAAGAATTAATATACGGTCACACATTGAAGATTAGGTAACATGAGAATACATTACACAATATTCGTGATACGAGGCTATCAACCAAGATATCACTGTATAGTTTGAGCACACTCATACACCACTCAGTATATTCATACTGGTGTATGTGTGGTCATAACATCCCTCCATAGCAAGAAATGAGTACAATGTGAGACACAGTGTACACATTCTTACAGTCATGGACAGCAAACCCACATCATGAATAATACATAATTATTCACAATAATCTTCATAAGCTGCAAAAATATACGGTGCAAGCACAATTACAGCATCAACTACTACAATATACAAAACATATAATAAGAATATTACATCATCAAGTTTTAAATCAATTACAAGTAACTCAGCACTTACAAGTACAGTAATTATAATCATTATCTCATCAAGTAAATCAGGAAATTTAGGGTGGTTCTTCACATAGGTTTTCTCAGAGAAAACATGTAGATAAGGCATCAGCCAGAACATTTAACGTGCCAGGAATATGATGAATATGGAGACTGAATTCCTGTAAATACAAAGACCACCTCAAAAATTTTTTATTGTATATTTTCATTCTGTCAATAAAGGTTAAAGGATTGTAGTCAGTATATACATCAATCTTATTTCCATATAAATATACCTCAAACTTCTTGAATGCCAATACAAGAGCACAAGCCTCCTTCTCAACAACAGAGTAATTTCTCTCTGTACTAGAGAACTTTCTCGAAAAATAGTATACAGGATGCTCAACATTATCACATCCAATCTGGATTAGGACAGCACCTGCACCCAAATCAGAAACATCTCTAAACATGATAAAAGGCTTAGTAAAATCAGGACTAGCGAGGAATGGGGATGAAGATTAGATACTTTTAAACCATCAAAGGCTTCTTGACACTAGGTAGTCCACTTAAATCTAACTCTCTTCTGCAACAAATCAGTCAGAGGTGATGCTACCATAGAAAAGTTCTTACAGTACCTACGGTAATAGGCACACATCCCTAAAAATCGCTGAACCTGTTTTTTGGTAGTCAAGATAGGATAATTTACAATGGCATTAATTTTGTCATATAGAGGCATCACCCTACCTTGACCAACCTCGTGCCCTAGATAAACAATAGTACCTCTGGCAAAGTTACATTTCTTTGGGTTAACAGTAAGATTGGCTCTTGCAACTTAGCAAACAACAAATTTAAACCCTGCAACTGTTCTTGCCAAGAATCACTAAATAAAACAATGTCATCTAAATAAGCACGGCAATTTGGAATATCCTGCAGCAACAAATTCATTAATCTCTGGAAGGTTGCTGGGGCATTTTTAAGACCAAAAGGCATAACGTTATACTGAAAACAACCATCAGGTGTTACAAAAGCTGAATACTCACTAGCTCGACTTGTCAAAGGCACTTGATGATATCCTTTGGACAAATCGAGTTTAGATATAAATTGACAGTGACCAATCTGGTCGATACAATCCTCAAGCAATGGCAATGGGAAAGTGTCTACTTCAGTTACCTTATTTAACCGCCTGTAGTCAGTACACAGACGCCAACTCCCATCCGGTTTAGGAACTAACAAACATGGTGAACACCAGGAACTGTGACTGGGTGTAACTAGACCATTTTCCAGGAGGAACTCCACTTCCCTCCTGATAATATCTCTCTTTTCTGGAGATACTCTATACGGATGCATACGAATAGGGGTGGTGTCTGTGAGCTGAATATCATGGCTCAAAACAGAGGTCTGGGTAGGAACTTCTCCAAACAGATTAGAATACTGGTGTAGTAACATTCTCAACTCTCCCTGTTTAACCTCATCCAAGTGTCCCATCATCTCCTCAAAACTAGAATTACAAAAGGTATGATTAGACAAGTCATCAGATATATGGTTCTCAGGGGTGACTGTGTCCTGTACCACACATGACACTGGCCTGGAGCCTTGAAATGCTTTTAACCTTCTTAATGTGCACTACCAAAACCTTGGAAGGGTCCTGCAGACTTTTAATTTTATAAGTTAACTCAGAACGTCTGCAAACAACTTCAAACGGACCTTCAAAATGATGAGCTAAAGCAGTTTCCACTCTGGACTTTAAAACAAGAACAAGATCACCTGGCTGAAAACATCTCAACTTCACCCTGAACTTCTTGTCATGGTGTTGTTTCATCTTCAACTGCGACTTCTTCAGGTGCTCGCTTGCCACGTCTTGGTACTTCTTCAACTTCGACTGGATCTCACTCAACAGACGACTTCCATCAGGGAGAGAGACGTTTCCCAACAACCTTTCACTCAGTAACTGGATTGGGCCTCTCACTCTGTGTCCGAAAACTAATTGGAACTGGGAACAACCCAAGGAATGCTGTAAACCATTTCGAGCTGCAAACAAGATAAAAGGTAAGTCTTCATCCCAATTACGTCTGGAGTCTTCACCAACAGTTCGTATCATCTGCTTCATAGTTTGGTGAAATCTCTCCAAAGCACCTTGACTTTGTGGATGATAAGCACTGGACACGCGATGTTCTATTTGGTACTTCTCACAAAATCGTTTGAACTCTGCAGACCGAAAATTGTTACCGTTGTCAGTCTGGATAACTCGAGGTAGTCCAAACAAAGTACAAAATTTTGTCAAGTGATGGATAACTGTCTTTGCTCTTATGTTTCTTACAGGATAAGCTTCTGGAAACTTGGATGGGGCACACATTAAGGTTATTAAAAATACATGACCTGACTTTGTCCTATTCAAACGGCCTACACAATCGATAATGATGTGGGAAAAAGGTTCACTTCGAACTACAATTGGATGCAAGGGAACTTTAGGTACACTCTGATTCGGTTTACCCACTATTTGACAGGTTACACACTGTCTACCATATTTATCAATATCTTTTTTTTAAGACTGGGCCAATACAAATATTTTGATACCTAGTATAACATTCGACTAATCCCTTGGTGACTGCTTAATGGATCGTCGTGGGCAGCTGAGAGGACTTGTTCACGGTATGCTTTGGGGACCACAAGCTGGGTAACACTCTCACAGTCCTCTGAAGAGGGAGATAACTTAGTTCTCCATCGTCTCATCAGCATCTGATCTCGGAGGAAGTATCCAACATCATCTGCCATAGCATCCTCCTCCTTAACAGCTTCAGAAAAACAGGCATTTAAACTAGGATCACTCTGTTGAAGTTGGGTTAAGGTGTGGATTTTTACATCAAACATAGGGGAAGAGGTAATAACAGGAGGTACAACTTCTTTCCTTGGCACAACTTCCTCAACTGTACTAACTTCATCCAACCTAGACATAAAAGTGTCAACCAAGTTAATTTCCGGTTCTAACGTTGAAGGTTTTCCAGCCATCCCTCCGGTTGTAGGATTGGAAACATCACTCTGGGACTTGGCGACTTGAGATCTGGTGACTGCGCAGGCTGGATACACTTCAGGAGCAATCTCACTCGTTTCTGAGAGAACTCTACCTGGGTCATTGAACATGATGGGAAGATGACTGTTTATCATAGTGCCGGCAATGTCATTTCCAAGAATTATATCGACACCAGGAATAGGTAAGGTATCACACACACCTACAGTACATAGTCCAGGAGTATAGGGGGATTTAATGTAAACTTGCATGAGGGGAACACGTTGCACTACCCCAACTATACCCTGTATAAGAATTACTTCGTCCAGGTCAATCTTCTTGACCTTGGACAACATACTGGAAGTAATCAAGGTTAACGATGCACCAGTGTCTCTAAATATAACTACAGGAATCCACTTGTCTACAACTCCAACCATTTTAGCATGAATCATGTAAGGGTCAAAATCAGCAAGCCACTGTGCCTTACCCTTACAAAATGTCTCAGAATTATGACCTTGCCTACTTTTACTCACCACCAAGGCATTTGGCCGTAATTCCGGATGTAACCTGGAAACAATGACGAACAACATGACCTTTCTTGTGACAATAATTACATTGTTTCACATCAGTCGAACTTGTCGAAACTGATGTAGCTTTACTAAGGTTAACAGTACCCTTAGATCTAACAGATGCTTGGTGTGCCCTGGCTATAAGAACAGACTTTGCATGATAATGACTATTCTTTGAACTCTCAGGATTTGCCTGCCTAGAAGTGAATGTTTTAGGTGCCATGTTAAAATTGTTATACGGTATCTTATAAATCGTCTCATGTTCATCTGCCAACATAGCTAACTCATGAACATCCTTGTAAGAACGTCTACCTGTGGCTAGTGCCATGGTCAACTTTACAGGCAAACAAGACAAAAGTTCTTCAACTAGGATGAGCTGCTTAAGTGACAAAAAATCATGAATATTATTTCGGTTTAGCCACCTGTCAAAAATTGACTCTTTTACTCGAGCAAAATCTGTAACTGTCTGATCAGGTGCACGCTTGAGACCTCTAAACTTTTGTCTTAATGCTTCTGCATTTAGTTCATACGCTTGCAAGATCCTCTTTTTTACTGTGGGGTAATGAAAGCTGTCTTCGAAAGGGAGCGAAGCGAAAATCTCTTGTGCCTTCCCGCACAACTGACCTTGCATAATGGTCACCCAAGAATCTTCTGGCCATTTTAAACTAGTAGCTAGCTTGGAAAAGTGTAAGAAAAACAATTCAGGGTCCTTCTCATTAAATTTGGGTAATTCAAACCCTTTAGGGAAGTAAAGTCCACTACTGTGACTACTACTAGAACTTCCCTTAGAACCCTTACTACTGGCAGCGGCTGCAGCTTCTAACTTTTTCTCCTTAAGCCTAATCTGCGCCTCAGCCATCTGCTGTTTAATTCTAACTGTCTCTAACTCTGCTTAGTTTCCTCTTCTCTTTGCTTAGTTTCTTCTCTCTTTGTTTAGTTTCTTCTTCTCTTTGTTTAGTTTCTTCTTCTTTTTGTTTAGTTTCTTCTACACACTTAAACCTTTCAAACTCAACTTGCTTTAGCTGAAGTTCTAACTCCTGCCTTCTTAGTCTGGCAGTACTCTCAAACTCATCAGGGTATTCTTCTAATACCTCATCACTTAACAAGCCATCTTCTACTAGATGCAGAAAAATAATTCTCAGTAACTTAGCTTTAGTCATTCTGGGTAATCCCTGCACTTCTAACTCTAGGGTTTTTCCCATACAAATCAACACTGATTTTGTTAAGGTCTTAATCCTATCTACTGATGGATTTTGCAAAATTTATTTTACTAATTGCTCCATAATAATTAATTAATCGACACTTTCAAAAAAAAATTATTATACCACAATAAGAATATACTCGATTAGCATATGCCCCTGCAACAAAAATGTAACGCTTACCTCTGTCGTGCAGCGTTGCAAGTGCAGTAATAACTAGGTTCACATAGGACTGCAAGCTGAATCATACGCAGAAACACAAGTCATCAAAGCGTCTTCAAGGAAATGATACCGCAACATTCACTTCAAATAGGCACAACAAGCTAGAAAATAATCATGGATCAGTTCTACTGTGTCATATATAATTATTAATCCTGAACACTAGGATTACAACAATAATTGTCCTGGAAACACAGGAGTTACATCATAAAGATCCTGAAACAACAGGAGTTACCTGATTGATGATCACGGACTAGGCCCCCACTTTATAATAATCTCTATGTCATGGTCGGGGATATATAATCTCCATATACCTATCTTAAGGTAGTAACCTTCAGCATCACTGGAACACATAGCCTGGCCACATACAATGCAAGGTTCTAGGGGAGTAAAAAGCTAGCAACAAATATTCCAGTTTACTGGCATTAAGAACCTTCCATAACATTAATACTACAACACTCTACTAATATCACACACTCTAATACTATATCCAGCTTCTCAACAACTGGGCATGATACATCAAATACAGGTCTGCAAACTGCATCAATCAACACTAGCTGACACCAGGAACTTTGCCTAGCGCAGTGGAGCACTAGTGCCTATATGCTGCTAATACCAACAAGGATGGTGGTGTGTCAACCAATAACACATGAGGTAAGAGGAATAATACCACATACAGCACCTTGGTATTTCACAAGTTCCTCAAAATATATCACCTCACTAAGACACATAATAATCACCTACCACCTGGTATACATAATAGACAACAATAGAAAATGATCCATATAAATACATAGTTACATGATCAATATCTAACAGGCAAAATACCCAATATAAGGTCACAAATCACGGACAACAACCTAACACGTCCGCTCGCCTGAAAAGATCAAAGAACAGTGACGTCTTGAGGCACTTTTGCCGAGAGGCGACACTGTTACGAACTCTAATAAGTCAACGGACCTTCAACTTTCAAATCTCGCTAACTCATTTACAATATAAACTCATTCAGGAACTTCTAATTCGCTATACAACAACTTAAGAGTATAAGGCACAACCTTACATAATGATACATAATAGTAATTCGATATATTAAAGAAATTATCATGAAATACAAAATAAGTTGGCAAAGAATTCGCATAGATACGAGATGGCAACACTGGCAGAGCCGGTACTTCACTGGGGGAGAGGGGAGGGGGGGGGTTAGGGAGAATTCAAGGATATAACCAATGGTCATACATATGCATACAAAGATAATAAATATATTAAATATATACAACATGTGTATCATAAGATTGTCTAAGTGGAAAACATTTCACAGTGCCATAATTTCATATAATGTCAGGACAAATGGGTAATGCAAGGTACATCACTAATATGGAATTTTCTCAGTATATATGTGATGAATACATATAGAAACTAAATGTATACACTCTAACATGGTCCACATAATGTTACCTTGATAGCATTACTTACAATAAACATAAAAGGATGTTTTTTCAAATCTATGACGTTAGGCTACTGCTATAACTAGACATCTAATATATAAATATATATATATATATATATATATATATATATATATATATATATATATATATATATATATATATATATATATATATATATATATATATATATATATATTTAGTCAGTCCCACCTCTTCCCATGGACACCTTTAGTCAGTCCCACCTCTTCCCATGGACACCTTTAGTCAGTCCCACCTCTTCCCATGGACACCTTTAGTCAGTCCCACCTCTTCCCATGGACACCTTTAGTCAGTCCCACCTCTTCCCATGGACACCTTTAGTCAGACCCACCTCTTCCCATGGACACCAAGGAAGGACTGTGGGAATTTACATTTTAGAGCAATATTTAATAAGTTTAATTTTATATGATAAATGATTAAATTTTGGTTAAATATATATTTAATTACATTATAAGTTTATTTTATTAAAAGTAGTGGACTGAATCAGTCTGCACAACTGATTCCTTTCACACTTGGAGGGGGGGGGGATTATATATAAAACCATAAATAACTAATCTTAAAAAAATCTGTTAATTAAGTTATGAATTTGGATTTATGGCGTTGCTTTGCTATACGGTCTTGCTCTCAGTCTGGACGTCAGCCTGCCTACAATATACATTGCAGTAATGCATACAAAATTTATTGAATTATTAAATCACGAAATAATGTGATTTATTATCGGGGATACTTACCCATCAGTGCTGGTTGATCATGCCACATAACCATATCAGGCTGGTAAACTAAGAAGGGCCACTCCCTATAACTATATCAGAAATGGAACAAGGCACTTCCCTTATTGTAGAAGAGGTCAATCAGCGGAGTGTACCATAGGAACC